ACGTACAGCCATATGTAGCTACAGGACAATATAAGTAACAAATGAGAGAACATCTTGTACTTCGGAGTTTGAACATCTGAATACCATGGATGATAGGTGGCCCTACTGTTTTTTGGGTCAAGGAATCCGATTCTGATAGTCCCCAGGCCATAGAATGAGCAGAACATCGAAATATGGGATGTGCTCCTCCTGTTTTACAGAATGATCTGCTCATATCTCATTCAATACATTTCGGATATCCATGGGGCTTCGTACACACCATTGTACAATATATACAGTCTGTTATATAACAAGAATACCCTCCCTAACTATTAGAAATGCGAAATATAAGGTATGTCTCCTCCATCCCCCTATTACTCTTTTTATCACGTATTTCTGATGGTTTCCTTTGTCCTGTGGGGTCATTTGAGTGTTATTCAGGTCAGGAAACATAATGGAAAAAACTCCGAAGTGGTCCGAAGCCCAGAAACAGGATTTATTATATGTGCTCCCCCTAAACTGTAATATCATTATTTCTGTTGTTTCTGAGACCCTATAAATGAAGGATGGAGTCGTTTTGGGGTTTTTAATATCAGGGAATCCATTGGTGATGCTCCCCAGGCCATCCGAAGTGCAAAAAACAAAATAAGCGATGTATGCCCCCTAATACCCCCTTTTATACTGTATTATACTGGACCTATATTATGAAGGAGGATGTATTCTAGGGTTTTTATAGCATAGGAATCGACTGGTAATGTTTTCAAAGTGATCTGGAGCATGCTGCACCCTAAAAAGCGAATATTTTCGTTTATCTCCAGGAATAAAGTGTGCCAAAAGTACTGTGGAGGGGTCGTTTTGGTGTTTTCAAGGTCAGGGAATCGATTGGTGAAGTCCTCCAGCCGATCCAATGCATGCAGCAGCCTCCAAAAGCGAATATTTATGCGATTTTCATTATATTACCCTTTTATCCCACTATCCAGGGCTCCTATGCATCATTAGAGGGCTCTATTTTATGTTGTTTATGTCTATACAGATTATAGTGCCATCCCCTGGCCCAGCCAGTAGGCTGAGAATAGCCCAATAGCTATTTTGACCGGAAAATAGCCCCTATTTTGGGTATTAAAAATGCGGCACTGCCACTGGATCCAGCCAAAATTGATGGGCTGATTTGGGGAGCCTAAAAAGGCAAAAGAGCGCACCAGAGCGGAGCAAAGGGAGGGCATCAATATGAGGTCATAAATGTTAAGGGAGGGAGGGTATATATAGAGATGAAAAGATATATATATAATGCCAGTATGGTGTAGTGACTAGCATGTCTACTTGAGAAAGTCATGTGACATTATTGGATTTATTTTTGAGGTCCCGGGTTCAATTTCCGGAATTGCCCTCTTTTCTACTGATGCCATCATTGACACAGATTGGGAAGCTTACTAAGCTACTTTGTCATCCTGATGGAATTACTGTATATGGGCTGGATGTAAACTGACACTCCTGATATATCACAATTAACTGTCAACTAACATCTTTCAAACAGAAATCTAGCAGACCAGGCTGGTGCTTTTGAGAAACTCAAAGAATTATTCCAAGAAGATGTAGTATTGGCCCTTCCTCTGGATAGAGGAAAGTTTAGGGTAGAGGCAGACTCCAGTGAAGGGGCAGTAGGAGCAGTGTTATCTCAAGAACAGGAAGGGAAATGGCGACCGGTGGCGTTCCTCTCTAAATCTCTATCGACTACCGAATGCAATTATGAGATTTACGATAAGGAACTACTCGTGATTATGATAGCCTTGGACGAATGGTGACACTACCTGATGGGGGGCTCGAGAGGACTTTGAAATTTGGACCGACCACTCCAATTTACAGTATTTCCGCAAACCCCAAAAGCTTAACTGACGACAAGCGAGGTGGGTCACGGAGCTGGCCAAGTACCAATTTACCTTGCACCATAAACCGGGCACTCAGAATCGAAAAGCCGACTTGCTGTCCAGGTGGGCCGACCACGATCAAGGCAAAGAGGATAACAAGGATGTCATAGTCCTAAAAGCCGAACACTTCAGAGCACTGGTTATGCCCACTACTGAGCAGCTCCACAAAAAGATTAAACTAGCCACCCATGATCCCCAGCGCTGGGACAGAGGGATCTCTGACTCTCTCAATCATGAGAAGGGGGTCACCCGAAACCAAGACTTGCTCTGGTATGATGGATGGATTTATGTACCAATGGATCAACCCCTTCGAGGGGAAATTATAGCCTTAAAGCACAACCACGTCACCACAGGTCATCCTGGGATCGAAAAAACCAAAGAACTCGTACTACAAGACTATTGGTGGCCCAGGATGCGTAGGGATGTAGAAGCCTATATCAAAGGCTGTGATGTTTGCCAACGCACAAAGGTGGACCGACAACCAAAAAAGGTGCCATTACACCCGAACGAAGTACCGGTTCGGCCGTGGACTCACATCTCGGTTGATATGATTAGTAAACTCCCTGACTCGAAAGGCTACGATTTGATCCTAGTTATTGTGGACCGATTTTCCAAGATGATAATTCCTATTGCTTGCACAAAGGAACTCACCTCATTAGGGTTCGCCAAAATCCTACGGGACCAGGTATACGTGCCATATGGAGTGATGCCCCAAAAGGTCATCTCAGACAGAGGGGCAATTTTTGTTTCCAAGTTCATAAAGGAGTTCTATGCTCTTCTCCAAGTCACGGGTAATCCATCTACTGCCTATCACCCACAGACCGACGGCCAGACTGAACGGGTCAACCAGGAGATAGAGAAGTACCTCAAAATGTTCATGAACTATCGACAGGATGATTGGAGTGAATGGCTACCCCTCGCTGCCTTTACCCATAATAACCGGAAACATTCCGCTACCGGGTTCTCCCCATACAAGGCAGTGTTCAGAAGGGACGGACAGGTGATTACCACAGCCCAGACCCCAGGAGCAGTACCTGCCGCCTCCAAATTGGTGCAGGGTATCCAGGAAGTACAGAACAGGGCCAAGGAGTCACTGGAAAGGACAGCTGAAGTCATGAAGCACAATTACGACAAGGGAAAGTCAGCTGCAGTGGAGTATAAAGCTGGCGATAAGGTCTGGTTGGATACCACAAACCTTCAACTCCCTCGCCCTGCCCGAAAGTTAGATGACAGACGAGTAGGACCGTTCGAAATAATCGCAAAAAAAGGCGCCTCCTCATTTGAGTTGAAGCTATCAGCAAAATGGAAAATCCATAACCGCTTCAACGAGTCCTTACTAACGCCTTACATGGCCCCTGCCTTCACCAATCAACCACGACCTGAGAGACCACCTCCAGAGCTGATAGATGATGAAGAAGAATACAAAATCGAAGAGATAGTGGAGCAGAGAGACAAGGTAGTCGGTCGTGGTCGAAACCATTGTACCATAACCGAGTATCTGGTCAAATGGAAAGGGTATCCGATAGAAGAAAACTCTTGGGTAAAGCATTCGGACATGGCTAACGCGGAAGAGCTGGTCAACGAGTACGAGGCGAGGGTTCAACGAATAAAAAGAAAAATTGAACGAGCAGATAAGGGACTATCCTATAACGGGAGTACCCAACAAGACTCTTATCCCTCTTCATCCTATTTGCAATCCCTTGATGTAAATGCTCAAAACTGGCACCCAGCATATAACCTGGAGCTCAAAGAAAATTTCCTATGTTCGCAATGGCCCACAGTTACCACTGACGAAGCAGATGGGGTACCAGCTATCGAAAACACGGATGATGAAAACGAATCAGAGGTCAACCTGGAGAACCTACAGCGGATCCATGAAAATTGGGAGTGGGGCAGTAATGAAGATGATGACGACCAAGCCTCTTTGACGTTCCACTCAGAATCAGCACCTACAGGAGAGGATACAGACTCATTCGGGATGAACAAGTCTTGAGGAGGGGGTAATGTTACGGTTTATTCACTTTTTTTCATTTTCTTACGTTTCCTGCTTACGATTCCATGTGGTCATCATGGACACATTCTCACAGTACTATTTTTAGTCTAGTCATCATGTATTTAAGAAGAGCCTCAGCTGGCCTAAACCCCAGCTTTGGCTAAGGTTTAATCTACCCAACTCGAACTCCACGTTTCACATCTATCTAAGTTCCCCACTGCTCTCTCCATACATTCTTAGACCTGCGAGTGTATCGATCCACCAAAGTGCTTGTGGCGATCCTTGTTTGATCTAGTTTGTAGAGTTGGTGGCTAACACCTTCCTTGACCTTCCTCTGCTCTCGCACGTCGCTTCTGGGATGTAAATATTTTGGATTGAGCTAGGGTATCGCAACAACAGTGATAAAAGTACATATGCATATGTTCCAAGCTTCCTCAGCCTGTCTGTATCATCTTCTGGAACTTCTGGGAACGTCAATGTCGATCTTCTGGCTTCGGGCTTGCCAGACTTATTCTTGTGCTCAAAGCATCCGGGATTCATCCATTTCTATGTATACTAGCTTCTATTGTCGATACGCAATGCTAATATGTATCAGAGCATCCCACATACCCCACAAATGGTGAACAGCAAGCCCCAATGACGTTTGGAGATCGATCATTTCTGTACCCCATATACTAACTGTTCCATATCTTCACTGCGAGCATATATTATCATGAGCAGAATGCATAGTTGCATTCAGAATATTACGCCTATAATAAACAACCCTGCAATCCTGTTGAAAGCTAATGTTGCTGTTTAATGATGAGAACTTGGATTCTTCACAATTTGTTACTTTTCATGAAGTTCACGATTGTATAGGAAATGACAGAGAAAGTTGTTCTAGCTCATTCTGGATCCATTCATCATGGGCAAGATGTCAAGAATAACCAACTATACTAATTCTCCGGAAAAGTTGAGATCCCAAAAAGATACACAATGTTCATTCTCTGGGTCATTGAAATGATTACCGGGTTTCCACAAAATAATGGGAATCGATCGGAGTTTTTTTTGGGTTACCATATGTAGCAATTCGGTTGCCACCGCTGTATTTTGCGTCTTCCCTTCTTACCACGACGTCGTTTTCACTATCTGACACTGCCGGCAACATGGGTATGGACCACGATGATTCCTCTTCAGTGATAGACCAATCTTTGGCAGGTGAATCTGCGAGTGATATTGATAGGGAGCTTATACAGGGCATGATAAGTGATGCTCCAGGTGCAGGTGCGCATGGCTAGTCTCTAAAGACAGGCGCATTTACTGAGCTATGATAGCTGCAAAATTCAAGGTATCGACGCCGCTTACAGTTGCCAGCAACAACACCAGCAAAAGGAAACGATCCATTCAAGCTGGCGCATCCGATGAGCAACCCTCTGCTAAACAATCAAGATCAGCCTCCGAAACCGACGATGAAGCCTTCGAATTTGTCAACTACGTATACATTCGCAAGAAAGACCCTCCAAAGGCTCGAAAACCAACCAGCCAGTCGAATGGCAAGATCAACTATGACCTCTACATCGAAAAAGGCCCCTTCAAATTCACGTCCAACAAGTCCTTCGAAGACTACATCACTGCTATAGCAACTACGCTCCAATGCCACAGGTCGAAGCTCATCCTGGACGAGCTGAAGTACAAGCAGAAGGTCCCTCAAACGTTGCAAATCCACTCCCTCACAAGTGAACTCGCCTTCACGGCATTGGTCGAGGAGATGCGTGCAGCGAAGACAGTCAACAAACGGATCATGTATGTCTTCTCTCCAGCACCCATGCGTCCAGCTTCAGATGAGGCGGTGAGTGGTCTACCAATTTTGTCTTTTTCTGCCTAACGTTCCCACAGTGGTGGACGACAACCAATGAAGATGGACAAGAATCTGTGCCTTCTGGGTTCGATTTCTCACAGCTCGAATGGCAGGGAACTGAAGATTCTATTGCCACGCAAAAAGTAGGTACTCTTGTTCGTTCGTACTATGGGCTAACGCGTGCAATGTAGAAGAAATTCGACGAAGCAGTGAGGCCCTTGATAGTCAAACTAGAGGAGAAGTTCCCAGTGGACAACTTTCCGACGCTTTTCCCTGGGCGACGAGTTTATAAGAATACGGCTGGATATTACTTCGACTTGGACCCTGGAGCACTATCTTCCTGGGCGTCGCACTGGGTAAGTATCTCTCTTTACAAGAGAATATGATTCTAATTCACACCAGGCTCGGGGAACTGCTTCCGAAGATGCTCCTCCGAACAATGCCTATTTCGATGCAAAGAAGTGCCTACATCCTCCCAAAACGCCCCCTGCCCATGCCGACGCTGCAAAGCAAGCTAATAACACTGCCCCCATGCCGATTCCCACCCCAGCTGTTCCGACTATTTCTGATGTGCCTTTTGGAGGAAACCTCCTAGAATATTTTCTTCTTCAGCAGCAGCAGCAGCAGCAACAACATCAACAATTTCAGCAAATGCTTCAGCTACAGATGTTGCAGAATTCCCGTAGCTCACTGAGCCGTCCCCCTTCCATTCCTTCTGCTCCTCCTTCTCCCGCCAAGATGCCAGTTGTCTCACTGGAAGCGTTTTGTGCTCATTACGGAGTCAATGATACTGATCACGACCGCCTGCAGGAGCTTGGTTACACCCCTGGCAACAAGGACATCAAGACTCTTGAACGAGTTGACTGGACCGGCGTTGGCTTTCCGGCGTTATCGTGGTGTTCAATCTTGGCGAAGCATGACGCGTTCATCAAGGATGCAAAACTGGGCCTGTGGATGGAATGATTGTATGCGTCCTAGTCTGTCTCTGTTCTCTTCATTGTCTGTACCGCTTTCTCTGCTGTCTGTACTGCTTTCTCTGTTGTCTTTGCAATTGTACCACGTGTTTATCGCTTTCCTTGAATCATGTATCATTTCTTGTCGCTGTATCACTGTACGTTCTTATAATCGAAGTCTCTAAAATATATACCCTGCATGTTTGAACCATCCAAATGCCATCTCTGCAGTGATACAACCACACGCGTCTAAAAGAACCAGAATAGGGTCCTCATCATCACGGAGAATTGGCCCGTTTCGTCTCAGATAAGCTTTCCCTGTTTTGAAGATCAATTGAATTGTTTCTGTGGGGAGAGCAGGAACGTACATGTGCTGAATGATTCTTCAATCGGGTTGAGGTCTGGAGAATAAGGAGGAAGATACAATATCATAACATCTGGATAGATCAGAGAAATCTTTGGTGACTTTGCAAGAGACTTACGAGACGCATTGAGTACATCAATCAAGGTGTCGGTATGATGAATCCTGCAGTTGTCCATAACTAATACGCTCTGCTTCTCTGGGTACGGGTTCATAAGCGGTAGCTGTTCACATTGATGATCCATGAGAGACCGAAGGAATTCATGAATGTACTCACAACATCTTCAATGATGAAATCAAAGAAACCAAATGAGTCGAAGGACCCTGGTTGTACCCGCGTTGCAATATATCCATCAATTGACATAGCCGCAATCAGCGAATACCGCTCACCTCGGACAAATACATCTCCCAAATCTGCCTCTTGGCCAATTGGTGAGCGACCGTAGTGGCGACCAAATGTCCTCTCATCTTTACTGGACTCATCCACAGTGACAAACTCAAATCCAGTCCCTGAGAAGTTGACCAGGTTAGTGACTCCTGCTAGATATACAGCCCGACGCTGCTCATCCCGTTCCAAGGCAATCGTGTGGAGAACTTTACGAGTCAGTCCAGCTCTGACAAGATTCTGTTGGAGTGCAGAGATGGATATAGGAAGATCATGATGAATTGCTAGGTACCACTGTAGCTCGCCAAGATAGGTATCAGGATGGGATTTCAGAAGGACATGGATGGCGTCAAGGGCCGCAAGGCTAACAATACGTGGACGTCCACGGAAGGGTGCCGGTCGATTTGCAGGTGTCCCGAATGTTTCGAAAAGGTTATGCCAGCGGTAGAGGCTGCTAGGTGAAACGTGAAAGATATGGCAGATGTCGCTCAGCTCCCATCCTAGAGTCCAAAGTTCTAGCGCTATGTCCTTGATTTGAGTTGGAATATGATGATTTCCCATGATAATAAGTGCAAGATGTAGGCAATAAATGCTACGATACGTCACAAGAAGAACCAGTCGTCGTGGTAAGAAGGGAAGACGCAAAATATAGCGGTGGCAACCGAATTGCTACATATGGTAACCCAAAAAAAACTCCGATCGATTCCCATTATTTTGTGGAAACCCGGTAAACCTTCTACTGCCCGGAAGGACTGATAGCCCCCGAGTTCCTGTCCAGAATATTTGATACAGCCTACACAGATACATGGAAAATGTATATAATGAATCAATTTGTGACTTATATGACAATGGAAAATGGAGAAGGGAAGTACAAGGCAAGTGGTATCAATAGCGGCAGTTCAAAGCTGGAAGGTCACTGCAGAAGCTCCCAAAGACGCTCCGGAAAATAAGTACAAGTGGGCCATGGATTGGGACATTTGCAGAGGACCTTCTGTTGATGTTATTGGTTGAGTTGTAGCTAAATTCTAAAAATCTATCGCTGGGAAGCGACCCATGAGAGCGGGGGAAGGTCAAAGAAGCTCAAAAGATTACTAAAAACACAGGTCACGGGCAAAGATTCAACAGAGAAGCAACAGTATATTATCGTCTTTGACTGTATGCCTTAACTACATATGTTCTGATGTATACAAGGGTATGGGAGCATGCACGACCACAGGCGGGTAATGTGCAGGCAGTCCAAAGCACGGAGAAGGTTGACGGATGGTCGATCCTGATATGGGTTTGAATGAAATTCCCAATTTGGATTAATAGGGTGGAACATCGTAGTGAAGGGGGGTCCCCAAGGCCCCCTTTATGGCTATTTAATGGGGCCTTGAAGGTCTACTTCCATTTCAAATTGCCCTGCCAGAGGTGATCACTGCCTGATATCCAGACACGATTTCAGGGTCAACAGGTAATTTGTCTGATCGCCTTCTCAAGATCACATTTGGATCGAGAGGCGTTGTTACGGAGTGCGTGTTCTGCATATTGAATCAGGATAGGACTCCATCGATGTACCATGTTTGGGAGAGTGCAATAGTTCCATTTTCTCTGTCTCTCTCTATTTCTATTCCAATGATCTTTTTTGGCTCTCCTAGATCCTTTACATCAAACAACTTGTGTGTTAGCCACTAACTCTAATCGACTTAGATCGTGCTAAGGTCGCTACTCGCACTTCGGTAGACGACGCTCAGCAAGTCAAAGGCGACACAAGTCGATGGGACACTTAGTCACGAAGAACGGAGTTCGATGTTAGGTAGAATAAACCTTAGCCGAAGCTGGGGTTTAGACCAGCTGAGGCTCTACTTAAATACACGTTGCGTAGACTAAAAATAGTATCGTGAGAATGTCCGATCAAGACCGCAGCATGGAGTAAGCATGAATGCGTAAGAGAAGAAAAAGAGTAAGCATGAATGCGTAATGAAAAGAAAAGGAAAAAAAAGAATAAACCGTAACATTACCCCCTCTCTAAGACTCATTCGTCTCGAATGAGTCCTCGCTGTTCCACGATTTCTTCTATCTCGTATTCTTCTTCGTCGTCAACTAACTCTGGAGGTGGTCGTTCGGGGCGTGGTTGATGAGGAAACACGGGAGCCACGTAGGGTGTTAGCAGTGACTCGTTGAAGCGGTTGTGAATCTTCCACCTTATCGGTAGTTTCAACTCATAAGCAGAAGCCCCCTTTTTCGCGGTGATGGTGAAGGGGCCAACACGACGGTCCCCAAGTTTCTTGGTTGGCCTGGGGAGATGAAGGTTGGTCGTATCGAGCCATACCTTATCCCCTGGCTGGTATTCCACTGCCTGGCCCTTGCGCTTGTCGTAAGCCCTTTTCATCGAGTCCGCTGCCTTTTCCAGGGATATTTTGGTCTCCTTCTGCGCTTTCTCGATTTCTGTTACTAACTTTGCCGCTGCTGGGACTATCGTTGGTTTTCGGGATGCGGTGATAACCTGCCCATCTCTTCCAAAGACTACCTTGTACGGAGAATACCCAGTGGACGAGTGCTGGCGATTATTGTGGGTGAAGGCTGCTAAGGGCAACCATTCACTCCAGTCGTCCTGTCTATCGTTGACAAACATCTTGAGGTATTTCTCGATTTCTTGGTTTACCCTTTCCGTCTGCCCGTCCGTCTGTGGGTGGTATGCGGTGGAGGGGTTTCCTTCGACGTGAATGAGAGTATAAAACTCCTTCATGAACTTGGAGACGAAGACGGAACCGCGATCCGAGATGATCTTTTCGGGCATTACTCCGTAAGGCACGTAGACGTAATCCCTCAGGATTTTGGCGAATCCTAGGGAGGTGAGCTCTTCAGTGCAAGCGATCGGGATGATGGTTTTGGAAAAGCGATCAACGATAACCAAAATGGAGTCGTAGCCCTTCGAATTCGGCAGTTTGGTGATCATGTCTACCGAAATGTGGGTCCAAGGACGAACCGGAACCTCATTTGGATGAAGGGGTGTTTTCTTGGGACGACGGTCTGCCTTGGTTCGTTGACAGATGTCGCACCCCTTCACATATGCTTCGACGTCCCTACGCATTCGTGGCCACCAGTAGTCGCGAAGTACCAACTCCTTGGTCTTTTCGATTCCTGGATGCCCGGCAGTGACGTGGTCGTGCTTGAGGGCTATGATCTGTCCTCGTAGGTCGCGGTCGACCGGTACGTAAATGCGCCCATCATACCATAAGAGGTCCTGTTCGCGGGACACCCCCTTCTCATGATTGAGGGAGTCCGAAATCCCCCTGTCCCAACGGCGGGGATCATGAGTAGCGATCTTGATCCTTTCATGCAGCTCTTCGGTAGTCGGCATGATCAGAGCCCTGAAGTGCTCTGCCTTGAGGACTGTTATGTCCTTGTTGTCCTCCTTTCCCTGATTGTGGTCCGCTCTCCTCGACAGGAGATCTGCTTTGCGGTTCTGTGCCCCGGGTTTGTGGTGTAAGGTAAACTGGTACTTCCGCTAGCTCAGTTACCCATCGTGCTTGTCGTCGGTTGAGCTTCTGAGGCTTGCGGAAGTACTGGAGGTTGGAGTGGTCCGTCCAAATCTCAAAGTCCTCCCTTGCCCCCATCAGATATTGACGCCACTCTTCGAGGGCGATCATAATGGCTAGGAGTTCTTTGTCATAGATTTCGTAGTTTCGCTCCGTCACAGATAAGGCCTTGGAGAGGAAGGCTACGGGTTTCCACTTCTCGTCCTGCCATTGGGAAAGCACGGCCCCCACCGCCCCTTCACTTGAATCTGCCTCCACTCGGAATCGTCCTTGATCAAGCGGGATAGCGAGTACCACGTCTTCTCGGAACAACTCTTTTAGTTTTTTGAAGGCCCCCTCCTGGGCTTCTCCCCAGTTCCATTCTTGTTTGCCGGTGAGGGACATAAGCGGTCGAACGTGACGGCTGTAATCCCGAATGAATCGCCGATAGAAGTTGCAAAATCCAAGGAAGGATTGTAACTCCTGCTTACGACGGGGAGTCGGCCAGTCGAGTAGCCCCGCGATCTTGACGGGGTCCATACGGATCTTTCCTTCACTAATGATTACCCCCAGGTACTCGGTTTCTTCCACCTCGAATTCACACTTCTCGGCCTTTAAGAACAAGTTGTTCTCTCGTAGTATCTGGAGGACTTTTCGTACGATCTTCTTATGCTCAGCCTTGGTTTTTGAGGCAATAAGAATGTCGTCCAGGTATACGGATACTTCGCCAGCAGTGATGAGATCCTTAAAAATGTCGTTCATCATCCACTGGAAGGTGGCGGGAGAATTGGTGAGCCCAAAGAACATGACGAGGGGTTCGTAGAGGCCGCGGTTGGTTCAGAACGCGGCCTTCCACTCATCCCCCTTCTTGATTCGCACGTTATTGTAGCCCCACCGAACGTCCAACTTGGTGAAGTACTTGGCCTTCTTCAGCCGGTCCATGAGTTCTCCGATAAGCGGCAACGGATAACGATTCTTGATAGTCATCTCGTTGAGCTTCCGGTAGTCCTGAACGGGTCGTAGTTTCCCATCCTTCTTTTTGACGAAGAAGAACTGGAGAGGCCATGGGAGATTTGGAGGGTTGGATACGTCCAGTGGTCAGGTTTTCGTCCAAAAACTTGTCCAATTCCTCCTGCTCCGTGGGATTGAGGGGGTAGACTTTACAGTCTAGGTTGGCATTAGCATTGGGGATTAGCTCGATGGCATGGTCCCAGGGTTTACGTGGAGGAAGTTCGTCGAAATTCTCTTTGTCGAAGATGTCTTTAAAGTCCCGATAGTCCTCGGGCACAATTTCTTCGAACGACTTGGTGCCCTTTTTGGTGTTAGCTTGGGTGGCTAGTTCGTTGGCTCTAGTTCCCATTGCTCGTACGTGGAAGGCTTCTTCGAAGTCAATTACTAGAATAGTGTCCCCTTCTTCGTACTCGTCCCATCGCGCTGAGGGGTCGGTGTCCGGGAGGGAGAAAGGGATTTTCCTACAGGTGCACCGGGCCAAGGTAACGGCTCCGGTATCCCAGTCGATGAGCGGGTTGTGGCGTTGTAACCAGTCATGTCCTAGGAACAACGGGGTAGAGCCTAGGTCGACTACAGCTAATTCGATCCGTTCCACATGATCTCCTATCCGTAGCCGTACTTTGGCATATTCGGTGATATCCCCCCCTTTGTTACGAGTGCCATCGGCATTATAGACCGGGACGGGTCGGGCCGCTTTCTTCAGATTGAGTTTGTGGGTCTGGGCCCAGGCGCGGTCGATGGAACTTCCCGTCGCCCCGCTATCGACTAGGGCGGATACGGCATGGGTTTCCCGGGTATCGAGCGTCTCTAACTGCACTTTTATTGAAACGTTCTGCCCCTTCCTTCCTCGTATGTACATTGGCGGTTTCTGCAGATCCTCCATCCACTGCCACCGCTCCCTGGCCTGCGTGGCCGTCTCCGTCTGCTCCTCTAGCTGATAACACAGCTGGTCGTTTACTTCTCCGCGGCGTCGAGGATGCACCCATCCGTTGAGGACGGCGCGAGTTGCCGCGCCCCCTCGGGCAATCCGGAGGGCTCGGCGGGTCCACA